GCGCCGTGGTGGAGGCGACCCAGGTCCACTAGGTCCATGCCATTGGCACTCCTGCTAGAGTGATTCTTTTCTGTTGTATGGATTGTGGTAGTGTTAGCGAGGACATGAGACTCGGGGGCCTTGGCTTTGCCTGTAAAGGCGGGCCTTCCTTGGCCCACCGGAGGAGCAATATTAGCAGAATCTTCAGAGGTATCCATCCCAACCACAAGAGAGGGGATGTGCCGCTCGATGAGCTGGTGCCTCTTGCTGACCTGACCAGTGCAGTGGGCTGTGGTGGTTCTGTGGCTTCGACTGGTGGTGTGGAGGGTTAGTTTCTGGGGTCCCTTTCCCCTCAGGGGTTGGGCTCTCTGGGAATTCTCCCTTTGTGCTGCTGGTCCTATCCTTTGCGATGCGACGTGTCAAATCAAATCAAATCCTACTCCTCTTCCTCCCTCCTCCTCCTCCTCCTCCCTCCTCCCTTTCCTCCTCCATCTCCTCCTCGCCCTCCCCCTCCTCCTTCTCCTCCTCCTCCTCCTCCTCCTCCTCCCCCTCTTCCTCCTCCTCCTTTTGCTGCACCTCCATCTCCTCCTCCACCTCCTCCTCCTCCTCCGTTGTGGGTTTTGCATCTTGGGTTGCCGTCGCGGGATTAAATCAGTATCTGTAGAGTGTGGAGAGCTGATGGCGTGCATCATGTTGTGCCAAGCCGAATCGTTGAGCCAAGACTCAGAGCTTCTATGGCAGCTGATCGGTGAATCAGCTCCGAGGGTTTCTCCGGAAGGCTTAGGCGACCCGTCCTCCTTCTCCTCCTCCTCCTCCTCCTCCTCCTCCTCCTCCCTCCTTCTCCTCCTCCCTCCTCCTCCTCCTCTTCCTCCTCCTCTCCTCTCCTCCTCCTCCCTCCCTCCTCCTCCTCCTCCTCCTCCTCCTCCTCCTCTCCTCCTCCTCCTCCTCCTCCTCCTCCTCCTCCTCCATCTCTTCCTCCCCCTCCCCCTCCTCCTCCACCTCCTCCTCCTCCTCCTCCTCCTCCTCGTCGTCCTCCTCCTCCTCCTCCTCGGGTCGCCTACGGTCCTGGGAGAAGCCTTGCACGCTTACGACGCGGCGGGGAGGGGCTGAGGCTCGGCTGTCCCGCAGAGCGGCGGCGCGGCCACCTCGAAGTAGCTAATCGAGCAGCGCTTTCGGCACAGATTACGGTAGGCTCGCGTCGTGTCGACCAGCGGCGACCCCGCCGCGGGCGCCCAACGTTGAGCGTGGTTGGCGACCCAGAGCCGGTCGCGATGCTGAACGATCGGGCGTCTCGGAAACGGCCTATCGCTCGAGGTTGAAGGATACTCGCGGTGTCAGGAACCGGCGCCCAGGGTCGACACGACACGAGCCCGCGGTGCCGGGCGCCCGCGCGGACTGTTGGAGCCGGAGGGGGAGGAGGAGGAGGAGGAGGAGGAGGAGGAGGAGCAGGAGGAGGAGGAGGAGGAGGAGGAGGAGGAGCAGGAGGAGGAGGAGGAGGAGGAGGAGGAGGAGGAGGAGCAGGAGGAGCCAGGAGGAGGAGGGGCCCCCGAGCCCCCTGGCCCACAGCCATCCCCTGGCGCGCACGCGCAGCGCCGGTCTGGCCGCCGCGCAGGCGTCCCGGAGAGCCAGCAGCCCCCCCGAGAGAACGGGTCCCCCGGACGCTCCCCTGCGCTGGGGCCCTCCCAGAGGGCCCCTGTCCCTCCAGAAAGTGTGGGAAAATATGGGAAGTGGGGGGGGGGGAAGACCCCCCCTATTATATATATATATAATATATATATATATATATATATATATATATATATATATATATATATATATATATATATATATATGTATGTATATATATATATATGTATATATGTATATACCTATATATGTGTATATATATATATATATATATATATCAGAGGCAGCGATGGGGGCGAATAGCCAAGGGGAGAGCAATGCATGTATCCAGGGGCGCCGATGATCTGTGTGTCTTCGACAAGACTCCCGGGCGAATGCGTGCAATGCCCACCCCTCGGCTATTCGCCTCTATGGTCGCCTCCGGTATATATAGAGGCGTGGCAGTTGTCCTGGCGGCGCAGGCCAGCTCCTCGCGGGCCTCCGAGCGGTCTGCTCAAGCCGCTTCTTCCTGGTCGTGCGGCGTCGCTACGGTCGGACCGAGGTACGTCTAAGATCGAGGCCGGTTCGGGGAGGGTGCCCTGATGTCGGCGTCACCCCAACGTACTTATGCTATATGTGCGTCGCCCCCCCAGGGGCGACGCGCGCACCGAGAAGTCTTGTAGTATATGCGTCGTGGCGGGCGCTTGCTGGCCACGCCGCTCGGGGAACGATCTATTACAAGATGGGTATACTATATGTTCGGGTCGGACGCGCGCCTTTAAGGAGAACAGATAGTACTAGTATGTCTCTGTGCGTACCATGATGCTCCGTCGTGTGTGTTGGACGTTTTGGTGCACCCTGGGGAGGGTGCCCTTGGATGCTCTGCGTGTTTTGGCCCGCGGAGGGTCTCGTGCTCCTGCGGGATGTTCTGCTGCCTTCGGCTCGACCGCTCCGTTCCTCTCCGGGGTCCCCGGGAGTCCCGACCCTTTCCCCGAGACCGGTTTTTCCCCGCGAGCCGTTTTTCTGGGCGTCCCGGGGCACGGCGAGGGCCCCCCGGAGGCCGAACACGGCCCCAGCCCTCCAGGCCTCTCTTCTTTGTTCTCCCAGGCGCGAGGGCCCCCGGAGGCCGAGCACGGCCCCAACCCTCCAGCCCTAATCTTTTCGTTGGTTCCCCGGGCGCGAGCGTGCCTGGGTGCACGCCGCTCCTCGGACATCTCACGCGGAGGCGTCGGGAGCCCGTCCGGAGGCGTCGGGAGCCCGTCCGGAGAGCGCGCGGGGCGCCGATCGCCGATCCATCGGTGACATAAGTAGACATGCGTACATGCATACATGCATACATACATATATATATATAGTCCTAAATAGATTTGTTTGTATATATATATATATGTTCAGATGTATACACGTATACGAATACAAACATGCACATCTATCTATATATATATATACATGTATGCGTATATGTAAATCTATACGCATATATTTAGATATAGTGTCGACGATGCGTCGCTGCTTCCAGCTCCATGTTCTCCCCGGAGCCAGTCCCACTGCTAGGTGGCGACGTCCGAACCCTGCCCGTCGATCGGGCTCGTCCCTCGACAGGAGGAAGAATCAAACTAGTCAAAACATAACAGCTAGACCGTGGTTCGATCACTTTTTGCTACTCTTGAGTATTAGTTCTGTTCCTCCAGAGGCCGCCTGTAGGAGGCCCGACGCCCTACCAGCCACCGCCTCTCCCGCATCGACGGGAGGCGGGGGTAGGGCCCGCATCTCGCCGCGTGCTCGACGACGTCCGAGCCCTGCCCCCGCCGCTCGCCGAGCTGCCCCAATCGTGGCTCGGAGAGGGTCGGGCGACGAGGCCACGTCCGCTCAAGAGTGGCCCCCGGGCCCCTCTTGGGGCCCACCTGGTGTTAAGTCGGGCCTGTCCCTCTACAGGGGGAATATTCAAAAACAGGCAGAACATAGTCTGGGGACTTTTTTTTTGGGTGTGTGTATAAATATATATATGTATATATATATATATGTATATATATGTATATAGAGTACGTTCGATTAGTTGGGAACATTTTTTAAGTATTTTTTGTTTTTCGTCGAAAATCCCCCCGTCGGGGGACACGCCCGACTCAAATCTGGTGCGGGTTTTCTCCCTTGACCCGTGTTTGACCATCCCGGGGCCCGAACGCGGCCCCCAGTGGCCGAAAATGGCCAACGGCCTGTTCGCCAAATCTGTGTCTCGCCACGAGTTCGGATTTCGCCGCCGAGCGGAACCACGTCTCGGCGAGGGTAGGGTTCGGATTTCGCCGCCGACCCGTAGCGTTGTCCCTCAGTCCTGGGCCCCCAAGGGCGATGTATCGCTTGGCGTCGCTCGGACGTGTGCGCTTTTTCTCGGCGAGTGCCATCGAGGAGCCTTTTGGATCATCTAGCGAAATAGCACCCGCCCGCCCGCCCGCCCGTTAGGGCCCCGCACGCCGCCCAACCCGCCCGCCCGTCAGGGTCCGCCCGCCCGGGCCGCCGCCCGCCCGTTAGGGTGACACGCGTGCTGCCTGGATTTTGCGTCATACGTCAATGTCCCGCCCGCCCCACCCGCCGCCCGCCCGCCCGTTAGGGCCTCGCCCGCCGCCCGACCCGCCCGCCCGTCAGGGCCCGCCCGCCCAACCCGACGAGACCGAAAAGTGCACGGGGAGTGGGCGTCCGAGCGATGGCACGCCGACGTCGCCGATGCATCTCCGATGTCGCCAGTGCATGGCCGACGCATCCCCGATGTATCGGCGATGCGGTGAGATCCTCCGACCCCATCTACTCCGACCCCATCAAGGAAGTCTCTAGAAGTGAGAACCCTGAGATCCTGGCGTCCCAATTTTTTCGAGCTGGGCGTTTTCGCTTTTTGTTCGGGCCCGGGGACCCTTACAGATCGATCCGGCTCGAATAATGACGCAGAAAGCCAGGGTCGAAGGCTCCAGGCGTAATTTTTGTACGATGCTGCATTTTTTCCGCTGCATCGGGCCTCAGAGGAAAAGGAAGGCCTTCTCAGGAGGCGGCGGGGCTTCTCAGAAGCCCTCGCGCCTCTCGAGAAGCCTTCTGCGTTTTCGGGGAAGGCTTTGAACTGGCGTCACCCCTAACATATTCATACTGTATGTGCGTCGCCCCCCCCAGGGGCGACGCGCGCAACGAGAAATTTTATAGTATATGCGTCTTGGCGGGCGTTTTCTGGCCGCACCGCTCGGGAAACGATCTACTACAACATGGGTATACTATATGTTCGGGTTGGACGCGCGCCTCCGAGGATACATAGTATTTGTATGTCTCTGTGCGTCCCACTGTCCCACTGGAAAGTGAGAAGTGGCCGCCCACGCAGCTTCGCCTCGCCCGCACGCACGGCACGCGCGAACACGAAACCGAAGCCGATTTCCCGGTAGGGGGGCTCTTCGTTCCACTTCGATCTCACCCCCTCACCTCCGATAGTGCTTGTATGTCTCTGTGCGTCCCATTGAATTTGTTCAGCAGGCCGGAGGACTGCCGAGCCTTCTGAGAAGGCCCGCCACTTCTCACCTCCCCCCGGAGCTCGCCGCCGATGGACACACCGTCTGTCGCCGCGCCGCTGGCTCCGACGCGCGGCCCTCCGGCTTGGTGAGGGCGCCTCGGCCACCAGTCGCAGGCCCAGAGGTTGACACCAGCACCAATACTATGATGCTCCAACCTCTTTTAGCCTTGACCAGCAGAAAGGACTTCGAGCGCCCCAAAAGGTACCGAAACTCAGGGGTTGTCACGTGTCGGGCCCGGGGAGACACTCGCCCGACACTGCTTCGACACTCGTTCGGCACTTTTCCGGGTGCTCGAAATTATTTCTGGGATGTGGTCCTTAAGTAGGATGGGAACAACATAACACCAGTATCGGCGGTGTGCCTCCACCGTGGGAAGAGGATCCCGATCTCGGTGGTGGTGACAACATTCTGGCTTCCCAGGCGACCGAAGTATCACCACCACCACCGACATCTGGGATCCTCTTCTCCCTGTGGAGGCAGCCCCCCCGTGTTGGTGTTGGTGCCCATTCCCAGGCCTCCAGGAATGCTTGCGCCCCGCCGTGCCCAAGACGCGGCGGGCGAGCGGCGCACGTCCGGCAGTCCTGCCGGGGCCGCGGCCCGCCCCAGCACGCTTCCTCCCGGTGGGGGCTGCCGGAGGTGCTCCTGGCCCGAGGGGTCCCTGCTCCTGCTCCTGCTCCTCCTCCTCCTCCTCCTCCTCCTCCTGCTCCTGCTCCTCCTGCTCCTCAAGAGGCCCCAAATATCGCTCCAAGACGGCACAGGAAGCCCCCCGTGGCTTTTTTGCACCGTCCGTGAGGGGAAGCAAGGGGGCCCATCGGTCGTTGAAAGTCGGTGTTCCTGGACTCCCAGGTTCCAGTCTGCGTCGAGCGCCTTCCTGCTTCAGTGAGCGCGTGGCTTCGCCTGCTCCGTGCTCCCAGAGGGGGCGGGCGGAGCCCAATCTCTTCTCCACGCCTTCCTGGTTCATGCTTCTGCCTACTTCTTCCGACTTATGGGTGCCCATACCACTGCCCTCCGCCCGTCCTCCCCCTTCTCGGGCCTCCTGGGAGGCCCTCGTCGCCACCGCTGGATTTGTGGTGGTCCAGCCTACTTTAGCTTTGATCGCCAGACAGCATGTCGAGCACCAGCAAAAACACCGAAACTCGAAGGCTTTCACGTGTCGGGCCCTGGGGGACACTCGTCCGACAGGCACTGTTTCGACACTGTTTCGGCACTTTTCCGGGTGCTCGAGATTATTTCTGGGATGTGGTCCTGAAGTACGGTGGGAGCAGCATAGCGCTGGAGGCGCCTCGAACTCCTGGTCAGAACGCACCCTCGGAGAGGTCCGCGGAGCCGCGGTATGGGCACCTCTCTTTGGTGTCCCCGAGCTTGGAGCCCCTGGGCCCGCTGGGCCTCGCGAGGGGGTCGCTCTGCATCGAGTGGAGAAGCGCGCCGACCATGCTTCCAAGACGTTGCGGGATCTCGTCGACACCGGTCCTGGTCATGTTCCATGCCGCCCGTCGCCCATTCGCGAGGATGATCCCCGAGTTGACGAGGACCAAGATGGGCGATGACCGACCTCGGCGCCGACGTCTCCTCGTTCAGTCTTGGTCTCGTGGTCCTCGGCTGCTTTCCGCGGGGCTCTTGCCAGAAGGTGCCGGCTCTGCGCAAGTCCTGCACGCAGGCCCACACGGACTCCTTTGAGCTGCACTGGGCCCCCTTCGTGGCGCTTGCAGCACCGCCCCTGGCGCGCTCCGCGCGCCAGGATGGGAGGTCCAGCGCCGACTCGGGAAGAAGTCCGCGCGGGTCGGTTTCTTTCCATCCGCCGGAGGCCGGTGAGCCCTCCATGGATTTGACGATGCCCACGGCTTGGCAGTGGCCAAGATGGACGATGACCAAGCTCGACGCCGACGTCTCCGCGTGCAATCTCGGTCACAGTTGTCGTTTTCTTTACATCCGCGGGAGGCCGTGGGGGGATCCATCCCCAGAGCTCGTAGAGAGCCGTCGGAGTGTTAGATTGGACGCCGGCAGGCAAGGGTAGGCACGGAGCTCGTTCCAGCTTCCGGCAGGACACCTCTCGGAAGCCTGCGTGAGTTTTGCGCATGTCCCAGAAGGCCTCTTCCAACTGTTTCCCAACACGTGTGCCCTGAAGGTTTCCATCGGGTTCCTTCCCAGAGCTTCCAGAGCTCCTTCGAAGGACCTTCTGGAAGCTTCTGCCACCTCGCTACCCGGGCTTTGTGTCGGTGGCCACAGGCGAACCCTACCCCACCATCCCACCAGCCTAAGCGGGAGGTGGGATTCACTTCGCGCGGGAGGTCCCGATCGAAATGAGCCCTACAGTCAACCCACACAGTAAGCATGGGCAACCTTCCCAAGGGTACCCTTGCATCCTGCCTCCTCGGTCCATCCTTGGCCGCTTTCGTTGGCCACGCCCCGCTCGAAAAGCTTCGATGTGGCCTTCCAAGGCCCCTGCATCCCTATCGTGCGCCCCCATGGTACAGGTTGACTGTACCTCCCCCCCTCAGAACTCGCCTGGTGGTGGGGTGCAGCCGGGGCGCTGAAGAAGGAGCCCTTTTCGTTGGGGAGGGGCTCGGTGCTCCTGGATCCTTTTGCAGTTTTTTTCGTAGGTTTTCCATGGGGAATCGAACTGGAGGAAGGAGGAGGAGGTGGAGGAGGAGGAGGAGGCCGACCTCCCTCCCCATGTTTCCCTCCAGTCTCTCCTCTTCGCCCTCCTCGGTCCTCCCCTTCCTCCTTCTATCCCCCGCCCCCAGCCGTCCGCCCCCCAGTTCCTCCAGTTTTTTTTCATTGGTTTTACAGTGGGGGCCCATGCCAAGAAACACCCTGCATGCCTCCGGGGTGCCCTGGGTTTCTTGGGTTTCGATGGCTTTGCGATGAAGAGCGCGAAGCTCCCACACCAAACATCGATGGACACCCTGGGGTCTCAGGGTTGGGTTTCTTGTGTAAGGTTTCTTGTGGTCGGGCCCCTATTGTAGCTTAGGGGAAAGAGGGGCCTCGTCTCTTATTTCGGGTTTAACTTAGGTCCACGCCCCGACGGTCGGCTCCGCACGTGGCCTCCCCGCCTTGGGCCGGGGGCACTCTTGGGCAGCCCCCCCCGCCCTCGCGAGGGGCAGGGCCCGCGCGCCCTGCGCCGTGCCCGCGCCGCACATCTGATGTGGCCCCACCCCAGGGGGAGGAGGAGGAGGAGGGAGGAGGGGGGAGGAGGGGGAGGAGGAGGGGGAGGAGAGGGGGGGGAGGAGGGGGAGGAGGAGGAGGAGAGGAGGAGAGGAGGAGGAGGAGGAGGAGGAGGAGGAGGAGGAGGAGGGAGGAGGAGGAGGGGGGGAGGAGGGGGAGGAGGGGGAGGAGGAAGGAGGAGGAGGAGGAGGAGGGGAGGAGGAGGAGAAGGAGGAGGAGGAGGAGGAGGAGGAGAGGAGGAGGAGGGGGAGGAGGAGGAGGAGGAGGAGGAGGAGGAGGAGGAGGAGGAGGAGGAGGAGGAGGAGGAGGAGGTGACGAGGAGGACAAGCAGCTGGAGGATGGGGGGAAGGATGAATGCTTCTTGCTGTGGACGATGGTAGTGAGGCTGCTGCTGCTGCTGGTGATGCTGATGATCATGACGATGATGCTATTGTTGTCGTTGCGGTGACGGCGTCGCCGATGCTATGACACCGGTAACCATGCCGATGATGATAACCATGATACTGAGGATGACATATGAGATTCTGATGATGCTGGTGATGCTACTGATACTGTTGACGGTTATCATGATGATGACGATGCTGATGATGACGATGATGATGACCATGAGGACGATGATGATGCTGCTGCTGATGATGATGCCGACGACGGGGATGCCGATGATGTTTTTGCTGCTGATGATGACGGTGTTGTTGACGATCGCCATGGTGATGCTGCTGCTGATATGATGGTAATGACGATGGAGATCGCGCTGGTGCTTATGCTGATGTCGATAACGATGATGACGAAGCTGATGATCATGCTGCTGATGCTGATGATGGCGATGGTGATGGTGATGGTGATGGTGATGGTGATGGTGGTGGTGATGATGATGATGATGATGATGATGATGATGATGAGGTTGATGGTGGTGATGAGGATGATAGCGGGTTAGCGACGACGACAACGACGACTACGACTACGACGACGACGTCGACTACGATGACGACGATCATGCTGATTATGATGATGATGGTGACGATGATGACGACGACGATACATATGATGATGATGTTGCTGATGGTGAGGATGCTGCTGTTGATGCTGATGTTAATGTTGATGACGATGATGATGATCATGCTGATGATGATGCTGCTGATGATGATTCTGGGGATGATGCTGGTGGTGCTGATGGCTATGACGTTGTGATGGTGATGATTATGTTTGTTAGTTGTACTGCTTGTACCACTGATCAGAATGTGGGGGCCGAGTAGTCATTCGTTGTCCCTGGGCGCGTGGCTGAAGTGAGGTTCCGCGGTGCGAGTTGTTTCGGAGCTTCCAGTTCTGAAGAATAATTATTGTTGATCCTCCCACACCAGTGTACGTTTTATTGTTCTATATATATATATAAGAAATGCCCCCTCGAGGCTCGCATCCTGTTTTTCATAAGAGAATCTTTCTGCTCAAACAATGTCCCCGCCCCCCGCCGGCTGCAACAACAACGGCTCCCGCTGGATACTTCCTCGCGATGTATTCCGAAGTCGCGCTCTTGCGCGGGGCATCCTCGCAATGTATGCAGCAATCGCGCTCTCGCGTGGGACCTCCTCGCAATGTATTCAAACGCCGCGCCTGCGACACTCAGGAATCTTGCTGTTGCCATTCTCACGATTTACTTGGGAACCGCGCAATCGCTCGAGACTCCCTCGCGATTCATGCATGACTCACGCTTCAGCAACCCGCCTGTTCGACCTGGCCGCCTGGTCCCGCCTTCCCGACCCGCCCGCTAGAGTCTGCCCGCCCCGCCCGATCTGCCCGTCTGGTTCTACCACTTTTTTTCTGCTCCCAGCCCTCCTCCAGCTAATTTCTCTCGTTCTCCATCTTTCTACCGCTCCCTTCGTCCGTCTTCTCTTCCCCTGTTGCAGGGATTGCGCTGAATGCTCGTGCAAGGTACGAAAGATATACGCCCAAGAGGGTACGATGGAAGACAAAGAGGGCGGGTACCAAGGGTTTGAGATATACGTGTTGAATGGCATGTGGGCGAATAGGAACGAACAGTCTCAAGCTGATTTTCGTTGTGGTCCCCGCTGTCTTTGTGGTTGTTCTTGTTGTTGCGGTTGAACTCTCACTGCGGAATAATAATTGTTGTTGATCCCCCATCACCCGTGCATATTGTTTTTTCCAAATCAAAATGTGCCCCTCGACGCTCTCACCCTGTTTTTTGTCAGGGAAAGTCTTCCTGGTCAAACTTTGCCCCTGGCCCCCCGGACTACAACAACACCGGCTCCCGCTTGAGTTTTGCTAAATTTCTTCAGGACCCCCCCCTCCCGACTGAGACTTCCTCCCAATTTACTCAGGAACGGCGCTCCCTCTTGAGACTTCCTTGCAATTTAGTCCGGGTCAAACTGCGTTGTTGCCCCCTGGACTACAACAAAAACGGCTCCCGCCTGAGACTTCCTCCCACTTTACTCAGGACCCCCGCTCCCGCGTGAGACTTCCTCCCAATTTACTCAGGATCGGCGCTCCCGCCTGTGACTTCCTCGCAATTTAGTCAGGACCCCCCCTCTCGTCTGAGACTTCCTCATAATTTACTCAAGAACGGCGCTCCCGCTTAAGATTTCCTTGCGCTTTAGTCTGGACCCCCGCTCCCGCCAGGCATCCCCTTTTCAGGAATTGCGTTCTCGCCTGTGACTTTTTCGTAGTTTATGCAGAAATCGCGCTGTCTACGCTCAGGCGCCACGCTCGCGCTAAGGCCGCCGTCACACTTTACTTAGGAGTCGCGCTCTCGCCCTACTCAGGCATCCCGCTTGGATGTTCGACCCGCCCGACCCGCCTGTCAGAGGATCGCCCGCCCGTCGTGGGCTGCCGCCCGAGACTTGCTTGTGGAATGGCGCTTTCGCCTAGGACTTCTTCGAACGTTCGCACTCTTACCTTCCTGCTCCTCCCTCCTCCCGGGCCGCCTCCCCCTCCTTCCGATTTCCTCTCCCTCGCATGTCAGCTGATGTTGAACTTCATTCCTGAAGAATTATTTCTGTTGGTCCCCCTCACCGGTGCGCATTGTTTTTTTCTCAGTCAAAGTGCGCCCCTCGACGCTCGCACCCTGTTTATTTGGCAGGGAAAATCATCCGGGCCAAACTGTGCCCCTGGGCCCCCGGCTACAACAACAACGGCTCCCGCCTCAGACGCGCCCAGTGAGGCCCCGCCACGCTGCCCACAGAGGCTCCTGCCGCAGCCCACAGAGGTCCCGAACGCGCCCGCAGAGGTCCCGCCAAATTGCCCACTCAGGCCCCGAAACCAGCCCACAGAGGCCCCGAACGCGCCCACGGAGGCCCCGCTACGCTGCCCACTGAGGCTTTCGGCGCAGCCCACAGAGGCCCCGAACGCTTCGGGATCCAACTTCGCTTTCAACATCCCGCTAGGCAGCCCCAGAGCACATTGGGACAGCCAGCCTGCCGCGCACGCGCCGGTAGCAGCTGGTGACGGTTGGCTTGGGTATTGTCTCCCATGTGTTCCCGAACAGTGCCAGACCTCGGACCCTAACGTTGTGGCTGGAGACGGCGGGCTCCAGTTCACCTCCCATGTCTCCTTGAGCGTTGCCTCCCACTTCACGCTGAGCAGCATCGCCAGTGCCTGCTGCTGCGGCTTGCCCTTCTCGCACACGCAGATCCTGGCGCTGTGGTAATGGTGCTCCGTTACTGTATTTAGCTCATAAGATTCCCGCACGTTCGAATTCCAGCGCTGTGATTCATGGCATCGGGCTCCCACTTCAGCTCCCACGTTGCCGCTGGGCAACAACACTGTCCACTGCCATAGGTCGTTATCAGGCACGCAGTGACCACCGCGTTATAGCTAATGTAGTGGGGTCCCAGTGTCGATGGCCGCATCCCACAGACAAGTGCCGGAGTTCGATGCCTCTGATTGCTGTTTCGCCTCCCACTTCTCGCTGAGCAGCGCCAAAGCCAGCTACCACTATGCGGTTTCCCCGCTCGCCGTGAATGCCGCATGTCGTGCAGCAGCAACAAAGCCCGTGGCCCCTGCTGGTTCCTCTCACCCACCCTGGCCCTGCAGCGCTCTAGGATATGGTATCGGGCACCGCATTCGCCTCCAACACTTTGCCGAGCAGCACCAGAGGTGTCACATGGCGCTGTTTATGGCGCGACCTATGTCGAAGCCTTTTCTTAACCTGTGTTGGAATGGTTGGCGCAAGCTGAAATGCAACTCGCGGCGCAAATCATCGTCGTCTGTGTATGGGGCTTCTCCAATTACACGTGGCCAGGAAGGAATACAACCTCCCAAAAGGGGGTACGATCGAAGACGAAGAGGGCGGGTATCGAGGGTTTGGGATGTGCATAATGAATGTCACGCGAGCCGGTCGGAGCGAACAGTCTTGTAATGATTGTTGTTGTTGTTGTTGTTGTTGTTGTTGTTGTTGTTGTTGTTCTTGTTGTTATTGTTTTTGCTGTTTTTGTTGTTGTTGTTGTTGTTGTTGTTGTTGTTGTTGTTGTTGTTGTTGTTGTTTTTGTTGTTGTTGCTGTTTTTGAATTTTCACTTCTGAAGAATAGTTCTTGTTGATCCCCCCGTCCGATGCACATTTTTTCCGATTGAAGTGCCCTTCCCGGGGCTTGCACCCTGTTCTTCATCAGGGAAGGTCTTGAAGCTCAAACTGGGCCCCTGGCCCCCAGTTTACAACAACAGCGGCTCCCGCTGGAGACTTCCTCACAATTTCTTGAAGAATCGCGCTCTCGCTTGGGACTTCTTCGCGATTTACCACCGGAATTTCGGCTCCCGCTTGATACGTCTTGACAATTTATTGAAGAATCGCGCTCTCGCTTGGGACTTCATCGCGATTTACCACCGAATCGCGGCTCCCGCTTGGTATTTCCTTACACTTTATTCAGATGCCGCTCTTCGACACTCAGGAATCGCGCTCCCGCTACATATTGCCTGGCGGTTCAAGCAGAATTTACTCTTCAACGACCCGCTCGCTCGACCCGCCCGTCTGGGCCTGCCCGCCCGACCAGCCCGTCAGGGACTGCAGTCGCCCTTTGCTGCTTTTCGCCCGCCTTCGGTGCCCCTCGCTGCCCGTATTGGTTCCGCGGTCGCCTTCGCTCGCTGCCCTTCGTGGCCCCGTTGCTGCCCTCCGTGGCCCCGTCGCTGCTTCCCGACGGCTCAAGCCATGGCACAAACCATGGCTTGAGCCAGTCGCTGCTTCCCCGGAGTGGCTGCCGCTGGCCCCGTCGCTGCTTCCCTGGAGTGGCTGGCGCCAGCTATGGCGCAAGCGGAATCGCCATTCAGAGCGCAAATCATCGTCCTCCCTCCTTCTTGCCCCCCTCCTCCTTTCCTCCGATCCTTTCGTCCTCGTTCTCCCCCGTTATTTGTTGCCCTTTGTTTTCAAGGGCTTCACCAACCACACGTGGCAGGGCAGGACTATACCCCCCAAAAGGGGGTACGATCGAAAACGAAGAGGGCGGGTATCCAGGGTTTGGGACATGCATATTGAATGACACGCGAGCCGATACGAGCGAACAGTCTTACAATGATTGTTGTTGTTCGTGTTGTTGTTGTTGTTGAACTTTCATTTTTGGAAATATTTACTGTTGATCCCCCCACCGGTGCATACTGTTTTTGTGAATCAAAGTGTGCCCATCGAAGCTCGCACTCTTTTTTAATCAGGGAAAATCTTGAGGCTCAAACTGGGCCCCTGGCCCCCGGGTTACAAAAACAACGGCTCTCGCTTGACATTTCCTTACAATTTAGCCCAGACCCCCGCTCCCGCCCGACACGTCCTCGCATTTTTTTGAAGAATCGCGCTTTCGCTTGGGACTTCCTTTCAATGTATGCAGGAATCGTTCTTCCAGCGCTCTGGAGTCGCGCTCTCGTTGGAGACTTGCTTGCAACTTACTGAGGAATCGCGCCCTTGCGTTGGAGTTTCTTGTAATTTGCTCAAGCGCCGGGCTCCCGACACCCAGGCATCCCAGGAGTCGCGCTCACGCTTAGGACTCCCTTCACAGATTACCTAGGAATCGGGATCTCGCTGCCCTTCGTGGCACCGTTGCAGCCCTTCGTGGCCTCCTCGCTTTGTTTCGTGGCCCCGTTGCAGCCCTTCGTGGCCCCCTCGCGGCCCTTCGTGGCCCCCTCGCAGCCCCTCGTGGCCTCCTCGCTGCCCTTCGTGGCCTCGTTGCAGCCGTTCGTGTCCCGTCGCTTTGTTTCGTGGCCCCGTTGCAGCCCTTCGTGGCCCCCTCGCTGCCCTTCGTGGCCCCGTTGCAGCCCTTCGTGGCCCAATTGCAGCCTTTCGTGGCCCCCTCGCTGCGTTGCCCCGTTGTAACCCTTCGTGGCCCCCTCGCTGCCTTTCATGGCCGCGTATATGTATGCCTTTCGTGCCCCCCGCTCGTTCGCGCCCGTGGTGGCCCCATAAGCATTCGTTCGCGCCCGTGGTGGCCCGTGGTGGCCCGTGGTGGCCCGTGGTGGCCCGTGGTGGCATGCCCGTGGTGGCCTGTGGTGGCCCGTGGTGGCCCGTGGTGGCATGCCCTTCGTGGCCCCCTCGTTGCCCTTCGTGGCTGCCCTCAGTGGCCCCGTCCTTGCCCTCCGCGGCCCGGTATACGTATGCCCTTCGTGGCCCCCGCTCGTTCGCGCCCGTTGTGGCCCCATGTGCATGCCCTTCGTGGCCCCGCTGTCGCCGTTTGTGGCCCCCTCACTGTCCTACGTGTCCCAGTTGCTACCCTCAGCGGCCCCATCGTTGCCTTCTGTGGCCCCGCATTATCTGCCCTTCGTGGCCCCGCTCGTTCGCGCTCTTCGTGGCCCTATGCGCATTCCCTTCGTGTCCCCGCTGTCGCCCGTCGTGGCCCACTTCGTGTCCTTGTGGCCCTGCTGTCGTTCTCTCTCGCTCTCGCTTTCGCTCGTCGTCGTCGTGGTCGGTTCCCTGTCCGTCCCTCTTGGGGTCGGGTCGACGGTCCGCGGCCGCCCCGCCGATCAGCGCTGCCGTTGGCCAGGACGACGGTCCGCGGCCGCCCCGCCGCTTGCCGGGGCCCGGCCTGCAGGAAAGAAAGGTATACCCCCCAAAAGGGGTTCGATCGAAGACGAAGAGGGCGGGTATCGAGGGTTTGGGAAATATTCGTTATTGGACATTCGAGCAGATAAGGGCGAACAGTCTCAAAATGATTGTTGTTGTTGTGGCTTGCTATTGTTGCTGTTGTTGTTATTGCTGTTGTTGTTGTTGTTGTAGTTGTCGTTGTTGTGGTTGCTGTTGTTGTTGTTGTTGTTGTTGTTGGTGGTGTTGGTGTTGTTGTTGTTGATGATGATGATGATGTTGTTGTTATGTTTGTTGTTGTTGTTGTTGCTGTTGTTGTTGTCGTCGTCGTCGTTGTTGTTGCCGTTGTTGTTTTTGTTGTTGTTGCTGCTGTTGCTGTTGTTGCTGCAGTTTTTGCGTTGTTTGTTGTTGTTGTGGTCGTCCCACCCGCA